GGTGATGAAATTCTCATCAATGAGGTGTAAGTGGAATTGTCTTGTGATGGCTTCTGGGAACCCTCCTACCAAGACAACTGACTTGTATCCTTCGTCTCTTTGTTTTGCCCCTTCCTTTCGCCTGCTATCTGGAATGACGGTAGAAGATGTAGCTGCTATCTTGGACCATGAAGATGAAGGTCACATGCTAGAGATGAGGGAGCAGTGAGCGGAAAGAGCTGGGCCCCTAGGAATTTCATGGAGTAGAGCCGGACTACCAAAAGAACGAACACATCTGTCTTGGAAGAAGTACAGCCAGAATGCTTCTTAGAGGGAAGGATGGCAAGACTTCATCTCACATACTTTGAACATGTTATCAGGAATCCCTAGAGAAGGACTTCATGATTGGTTAAGTAAAGCGTCATAGAAAAACAGGAAGATCCTCAACGAGATAGATTGACACAGTGACTACAACAATGGGCTCAAGCATAACAATGATTGTGAAGATGGTGCAGGACCAGGCAGTGTTTTGTTCTGTTGTATACAGGGTTGCTACTAGTCAGAGCCGACTTGATGGCACCTAACAACACAACAACAGAGCCACTATACCAGGCTCAAGCTGGACGCCTGTGAAATTTTACATAAGGGGGAAAATATTCCTCTATCTTGTTTAGGTCACTTTTATTTTGGGTCTTTATTTCTCAGAGCCAAAGTTGTTGCTAACAAATACACACTTCTTAATAACATTTCTTCTTTGAGTTATATTTAATTGTGGATACAAGTCAGGGTAGGATTTTTCTTCTCCCTGGCCCTCTTCTCTCTACCTGGTTCATAGATAAAAGCGATGGTGTCAATATCAGGAAAAGAAACTTGCCTTGTGGACTGTCTAGTTCTGAGGAATGTGAAAGTCCTCAGAACAGGAAAGACCTCTGGCTGCCTGGCCCAGTGGAGCCAGGGATAATGCCCAGCATTATGAGGATGTGTGGGAGAAGGGCCGAGGGGGAGAAAAGACCTCAGGAAATGTAAAGAAAGAAGAGGTGATTTGTAGTAAACATGTGAACAGAATGGACTGTGTGTCAGTTGAAGGGTGGTTAGATGGGAAAATTAAGATAAGATTCTGTATTCTCTGGACTAGAAAGTGTGCAAGATGAGTTACTGATAAGACTGTTTCCTCTCAGGTGGTGGACTACACTTACACAACCCTCCAGGTACTGCCAGCAAAGCTTGAGGGTGACATTCTTAACTCTCTCCATTGAGACATTTAAGCTTCTTGTGGGCAGAGTCCTTGTTTTAGTCATAGTTTTACTCCACACATATGGCCTAGTTCACAGTTCATAGAGATGCTAAATAAATGCTGGGTATTGTTGATACTGATGATCATGATGATGATTAAATTTAGTTTTTATATATCAGTACCCCTGGGAAGATATTTTCCTGTGGCAAAATCTGAAAAGAATAAGGTACCTCATCGTTTCTAACTCTCTTCCACTGAAATGTTTAAGTTACTTCTTGGAATTTGCCTAAATTAATACATACTCAACACGTGTTTTTATGCAGAAAGTGACATTAATAGTCTAGAGTGGCTTTAGCCAGGTATTCATAAGCAACCTTTCTTAGTCTTTTTCTATTCCATTTGGAATTTTACTCCCTCCTCTTTCGATTTCAAGCAAAATAACCAGAAAAGGAGGGGATATGTCTTGCTAACAATAAATATTTGTGGATTGAATGAATGAAAGAATGATAACAAATCAACAAATTTCTATAGCTCCTACCATGACCAAGTTATTTTCACATGCTTTGTGTTACTTCTTAGATACCAAAGAATAAATTAAATGTCTGCTATAATGTACTGGACCTACTGAGGCTGGAAGAGTCCCTGAGACTATGACCCTGAGTTGTTCTCAGACCCTGAATTGAAACTATCCTCTGAAGTCACCTTTAAACTAAGTAACAGTTTAGCCCAAAGAGTAAAGTTTGTCACCTTTGAGTATTGTGTTTCTTTAAAAAAAATCTATATAAGACCAAAGGGTCAACAGCTATTTTAAAGCATAGATAAGAAGATTGAGGGGCAGGGAGATTAAGTAAATTGAAGTGAAATAACTAGTACAGAAATAATGAGAATGTTAACATGATAGGTGAAGAATGTAACCAATGTTACTGATTTTTATGTCTAGGAACTGTTGAATGGGAGCCGATTTTGTTGTGCACACTTTCATCAAGAACAAAATTAAATTAAAAAAATGTCTATCATAATGTGTTGTTCATCAGTCAATATTTACTGTGTCATTTTCTGTGTTAATTAATGTGAG